ATATCTTTCCAGAGGTTCTCGAACTACAACCGTCTTGTGAGGACCACGGCTTGGGTTCTCAGATTCATCCGACGATGTCGCGGCCATTAGTATGGACATCGACAGTGAGGAGTATGGACTCACGGCCAACGAATGCGCCAAGGCAGAGCGCGAACTCATCAGGTGGGCGCAAAGGGAAGCGTTCTCTGGGGAAGAGAGAGACGAGACGGGAAAGATCCCGAAAGAAGGCAGCCAACTGCGAGGGCTGTTCCCGTATTTCGACGACGAAGGAGTCATGCGTGTAAGGGGAAGGATCGACGCCGCTGCATGTGTCCCATACAGTGCCCGGCGCCCAATTATACTGTGCTACAGACACACGCTGACGGAGATGGTGGTACGCCATTACCACGAAAGGATGGGGCATCAGAACCAGGATGCGACCATAGGCGAGATACGGAAGAAGTACTGGATAACGAATATACGGAGGCTGCTACGGAAGGTGATGGCTGACTGCCGCATTTGCAAGTTGCGGAGGGCACAACCGATGCAGGCAATAATGGGACCACTGCCGGAGGACCGACTAGAGGCCAACGGATGGCCATTTAAGTACACAGGCTTGGATTATTTTGGACCTTTACACGTGACGAACGGACGTCGCATTGAGAAGAGGTGGGTGGCACTGTTCACCTGTCTAACCACGAGGGCGATCCACTTGGAGATGGCCCATGATTTATCCACAGATTCCTGCATCATCGCTATGAGGAACTTTATGAGTCGGCGAGGACCGGTGGTCAAGTTAAGAAGCGACAATGGTAAGAACTTCGTTGGAGCCAATCGAGAGGCCCGAAGATTCAACGAGGTTTTCGAGCCAGAGAAGATCCAAGGCGAGCTGTCGTCTAAAGGAGTAGAATGGATCTTCAACTGTCCAGCGAACCCATCTGAGGGTGGCGCCTAGGAAAGGATGGTGCAGTGCGTCAAGAAGGTACTGGCGCATACGATGAGGGAGCTGGCTCCCAAGGAACATGTTTTGGAGAATCTGTTGATCGAGGCGGAGAACATAGTCAATTCTCGCCCACTAACGCACTTGCCAGTCACGGTGGACCAGGAAGCTCCACTGACACCCAACGACTTGCTGAAAGGAGTACCCAATTTGCCGGATCTACCCGGAGGGGATGGACAGCCGTTGGAGAAGTGCGCCACTAAGAAGCAGTGGCGACTGGCCAGGATGATGAGAGACCGATTCTGGAAGCGATGGGTACACGAGTATTTGCCTACTCTTGTGCGCAGGGAAAAATGGTGTAAGCATGTCGAGCCCCTGCGCCGAGGAAACTTAGTGTTCATCTGCGATCCGGCCATACCACGTCGAGAATGGAAACGAGGGATCGTGGAGGAGGTGTTCACTGGAGTAGATGGAGTGCCCAGACGAGCGGCGGTACGGACTGACGATCGAGCCAGGATGATCCGCCCCGCTTCGAAGCTAGCTGTGCTGGATGTTGTGAATGCGGTCGCTTCACGGGGGCCGGGATGTCGCGGAACGGATAATGTTAATGATAATGTCTGTTAAGTATCGATAGTCAGTCAGTATTTTGAAGTACGCGCTACGTTTAATATTTGTTAGTGATTTATATTTGTTTGTGATTGGTCACATTATGTGCTAAAAAGCTACGCTAAGATTGGCGCCACGGTTACTCCGATCGGCGATTCCAAGAGAGAAGGGAGGAAATACTGCGGTATGTAAAAGATATAGGTTGAGGTTAAAGTTAAGTTTGTATGCTTTCCCCAACAGAATAAAACGCTCACACAACGCTCATTTATGCTTGTCAAATTGATGTGTTCTTACGCTACGGGATCTGGTATTTCTCGTTTCGGTGAAGAGTGTTAAAGGCAACTCCACTTGGAATTTAGATCGGCGTCATTAGGTATACTATATATATAAACTTATATATTGGGTTGGCAAGAAAGTCATGTCGTTTTAGTAATCGTTTTTAATCTAATTTATTTACGACTAATCGAGCACCAGGGTCACACATTTTAGTATCTTTTTAAAGCTTATTGTCTTAGGTACTATCGACGAAAATTTGGTAATTATTCGATAACATTTGTGGAAGCTATAGCAAATTAAACATGGAGGACCAAAGTGAGCATTTTCGGCATATTTTGCTTTTTTACTTCCGAAAAAGAAAAAAAGCGGTCGAAGCTCGCGAAAAATTGTGCGAAGTGTATGGTAAAGATGCCATGAGTGATCGCCAATGTCAGCGCTGGTTTGCCAAATTCAGGCTTGGAGATTTTGGAGTTAAAGACGCCCCACGTTCTGGTCGACCATCGGCCGTTCTTGACGAAATATTGAAAAAAACGACATGACTTTCTTGCCAACCCAATATATTTTGTATATACAATATTATTTAAATTATTGAATAAGGGTAACCATGACATAACATTGATTACAAATATAGATATAATATATGTAACTCGCGTGTCATTTATGGTCGGCTACAACCCAAAAAAAGGGTATACTAAAACGAAAAAAAACGGAGCAAAGGGTGAAAAATGAAATTGACCTGCGTCATTCTTTTGCGTAGAGCGTTGACGATTGGTTGTGAAATTACTTAATTTGTGCAACGGGCAGCAGAGAGTGTTTAAAAATCCTCTACGTGTCGTTTAGATTATAAAAATAGTATGTTTTTTAACTAAAAACCTATTTAAATCTTCTTAAATCTTTTCAAGATTCAGCCATATGTCCGATATTTTCGTTTCAAAAGGTAAGTTTTAAATCAAAAAAGTCATATATAATATGTAATAATAAAAATATTTTTTAAACCGCTTCAAGGGAGACGGAGGCAATACAGACGCTGCCCTGCGAATATTCGTCAGAAGCCATTATAAGTTGTAACCACATATAAATGGTAAACAAAAAATTTTGAATTTCATATTATTTATCAACTTATCTATTTTGTTACGAAATAAGGTATTTTATAAAATAAAAAAAAATAAATACATACATATATATAGGGGAATGTCGTCAAGGTTGGACAGTTGTCAGGGTCGGACACTTGCCATTTTTCTAATAAACCAACTATCGCCATCTGTGTGCGAATGTGGTATTAATTGTTTCCACTGTGGGAAACTTTTCATGCCAAGTGCCATCCCAGAACTGTTAATTTTCCTGTTTTGTTGACATAGTGTCGTGATAGTGACGAAAAAAGTTTCGGAGAATGCGCAAAAAAAGTGGCATAATTCAGCGGAAAATATGTCATCCGCAGGGTGAGTTTAAAAATACGTTAAGTGGTTCCCCCTTAACGAAATCCTAAAAAAAAATTTGTTCTAAATAAAGCGATTTGGTGGTTATGTTGTGCGGTAGGGTTATGACTCATGTTGTCAGGGTTGGACACTTTTTGTTGTCAAGGTTGGACACCCTTGGTTTTTTCCCTTTTGTCAGAATATTTTAATTTTTCCAATGTTTTTTACAGACTTTTGCATAATATGCTTCAAACAATGCCACGACACTTGAATCGGAACAACTCTGTTGCATGTAGAGAATGTAAAAGAGACGTCCACCTCAATTGTGCCAAAATGACAAAAAGTTATTTTGTTTGTCCTAATTGCGAATCTAATTAATTTTTTTTTTTCATACTTGGTTGTAAAATTTGTTGTTCACAATAAAAAAGAGTCAAAAGACATAAAATATACCTGTTCCATGGATAATGTCCTCTTTTATTGCTACTTTTCTGAAGTAGCAATTCAAGTGTCCAACCCTGACTACAGTGGCCAAGCCTGACTACATTTTTTTTTTTTTTTAAATACTCGCCATTTCTATGTTTTTCATTTCACAACATAATGTCAGACGTCAGACATACCTTTTGCCTTTACCTTTCAAACTATTTACGCAAATGATCTTGATTCTTATTAAAACGATAATTATGGGCAAGGGTCGAAAGTGTGTCCAACCCTGACGACATTCCCCTATATATTGTTTTTCATATGAATTTGGAGATGACATTTTTAGACATTGACATTAATGATTTTACTAGGGTATCCTCCCAGAAGCCATCGGTGAAATTGTCTCCCCCACGTCACCAACGAAGTCATCAATGGCTTATACGAATACTCCATACAAAATTCGTATAAGCCACCGATGACTCGTTCGATGAAACGGAAAAAATGGTCACCCAGAGCGTCATGCATACAAAAAACGGAGATCCCATACAAATGTCTTTATGAAATTGCATCGGTGCGGCACCAGTGCCTGATTCCCATGTCATCGGTGCGTCGTCGTCCATGTCATCGACGAAGAGCTTTTGGAACTGCAGGGAACCGTCTACCCTATCCATCTAGGGCAAAATGTTAAGCAATCGGATGCAATCTAAACACAAATGTGCAATAGTGGACTCATTCCCGAAGTTCATATTTTTTCGCTACCTAAACTACAATCTGCGGTAGAACACTGAAGAAAATCGTGAAATGTAATAATAATATAAATCCTAATATATTTGGCAACCCTGTGCGCATTTTTTCTTACAAAGATTCTGCCCTTACCGCCATGTTTGCAGATCACATAAAGAAAATCAGTGCTGATAATGCTTGGAGCAGTACAGGAGTTACCAGAAAAATGGGCGGATCAAAAGGGTAAATCGCACAGTTTTATGAGATATTTCAAAACTTTTGAAGAGAGTCCATCCAAGTGGTTAAGGACAGTGAAGGGCCTAAGTCTTACTAAGCCTACATCAATCTTTGTTATTAAGAAACCCCATTATTTACTTACATTGTTATTATTTGAAATTATTTTCAGAATGCTATAAAGTAGTTTTTAACGTGTGTTTGTCGTATATACAAGAACTCATCGCAACTTAATATTTATTCATGTGAAAATCATTTTGTTAGTTGTTAACTAAATTAAAAAATTAATTTTAACGTGCTTTGGAGGTTATGTTCAATACGTCAATTAAGTTAGTTTAGCTAATTTTGAATCCGCTTTGTATTTTGGCAAATTAATAACTGTAATTCTTTACCTCGATGATACTTACCACACCTTGCGGAATTCCTACATCGTACGTTGGCGGTGAAGAGGCAGGTTGATAGGGTCCACGAGCGTAGCGCAGAATTGCCAGTTGTTGAGCTCTACGAATACCACACTCGCCAAGTCCACGTAGCTGAATCCAATACGCTCCAACAGGTTGGTCCGCGGTTATAATAAAATCGTAGCGCTCTCCTAAAAAATCATATATTTTCATTTTTTCAATATCGTACAATACAAAAATATTTCTGAGTATTTGTTTTCCATTTATTTAATACCCTTGAACAGCAAAGGGTATTATACAGTGACGGATTTACGGAGAGCTTCGGCTTGCCGAAGCTAGCTTCCTTTTTATACCCTTGCAGAGCAAAAGGGTATTATAATTTCAGTCAGAAGTTTGCAACGCAGTGAAGGAGACACCTCAGACCCCATAAAGTATATATATTCTTGATCAGCATCACGAGTAGAATCAGAAAACGTCTGTACGTCTGTCCGTCTGTCTGTTTCTCTTCAAACTAGTCTCTCAGTTTTAAAGCTATCCTGATGAAACTTTCCCAAAAGGTGTATAGTTATTGCACGCAGTATATAAGTCGGAACGGGCCGGATCGGCCGACTATATCGGATAGCTCCAATACAAGAGAATGAAATAAAAAATTCTCACTCTGTTGTTTTTGATCAGATCGACTTGATTTCTTCAAGATGGCGTTTTCGAACTGTTATTGAATTTCAGATTAAATTTGAACAAAATCGGATAACTCTATCATATAGCTGCCATAGGAGAGATCGAAAAATATATATAAAATTAATGGAAATAAATTGATAGCATCGTTGTTTTTTATCCCATGAGCATGATTTTTTGAATATCAAGTTTTTTAACAACTCTTATATTGAGAAAAAAGTTTCATACAAATCGGACAACTATATCTTATAGCTGTCATAGGAAAGATCGAAAAATCTATATAGAAATAACGGAAGTAAAATTATAACATAGTGGTTTTTCATCAGGCAAGTATAATTTTTGAAATATAGAGTTTAGTTACCACTCTTAAATTACGAATTAAATTTGATCAAAATCGGACAACTATATTATATAGCTCCCATATGATCTATAGTCGGAAATATGGAAAATGAATAGAAAAATCGTTATAACTTCGGTGTTGTTTAGCCTTTATGCATTTTGTTCGACATATTTGATGACTGCAAGGGTATAAAAGCTTCGGCTTGCCGAAGCTAGCTTCCTTTCTTGTTTGTTATTTGTATACTCTAGCAGATGGATTTATATGATATTTTCAGTCGGGAGAATAATTTGCGGGGAAGATGACCCCTAAGGCCCAATAAAATATATATTATATATTCTTTACTATAGTATCTTTACAATATAGTCATCCGATTTGCATGAAATTTAATTCGTAATCTGTCACTCATAACATCGCTGTTATTTAATAGACAACAAGATTTTAAAAAATTTTAAAAAACATAACTCAAATCAAAAATTTTTATTTTTAAGAAATATTTATAAACTAATATTTATGGACGCCTAGGCGTCAAAAATTCTTTCAATAAAAAAATATATAATTATAAAAAGGTTTTGTAAATTGTATATAAATATATATATTACGTTCTTAGCCAGATGCAGGATGAAAATCATAGAATCTTTCTCCATTTTCATGTATAACTCATTTGTTAATCAATTAGAAATCATCAACAATGGTTAATAGCAGGGGCGGACCCAGTTTGGGGGGGTCCGATCAAAAATTTGTTTAGTTTATATGGTGGAAAGACCGTGTGCTGTTAGGCATTTTGAAAAAGTCTGAGAGGGGGAGGGGGTGCGGCGCGGACCACCCCCCTGCTTCCGCCCCTGGTTAATAGTCACTTTTTTTGATTTCATATTTATTGTAATTTTTTCTTCAAACAATCATCAATGGATGATGTATTATTCAAGTTCAAAACAACGTTTTTGCGTGGTACGTCCACAAGTCGATATATAAGAACAATATCGACGAATATATAAGAATAAAGCTAAGAGTGAGAAAGAGTGTTATCTAAAATTTTCAAAGCCTTGTAACGTTAACCCTATTGGAGGAATATATTATCACGGCGTACGGATTTGACGCAGGATACGCTCCGGTGTCCTTGTGACATTGTGAAAAGAGGAAAGTTTCGTTTGCGAGGTTACAACTGCTAAGCTTAATTTTTTGTTAAGGGACAATTAAATAGTTAAGTCTATTATAATCATTACATAAGCGTTTAAATATTAATGCATAAAATAGTAAGCTCTACAATGATTCAAAGCAAGAAGATGTAGTTAGTTCGTGGTGATTCTATTAGGCACGGAAAATGTATACGACCCAGTTAAACTGGTCTCTCCACTTCCCCGTAAATGAGTTAACCTAATAAAAAAGGTTCAAGCATTATTCTACGGTTGGATTAGGATGGTAAAATAATAGGTAAAAGTCTACTAGAGTAACATGGTAATTTAAGATTTACATCTTTGTTAAGGCCAGGTACAGCAAATAGTAAGAAGTTATTTTGCACAAATTTTATTCGGACTATATTTACTCCATTTTGGGTACTTAAAACTAGCGAATACTCCAGGATTGGTCGGACTAATGAAATTAATAAAGTCTTTGTGACGTAAAAACCATCAAATTCCTTTGACCACCTTTTAATAAATCTAAATACGCCCCTGACTTTGTTTATCATTATGGTCTGAGAACTTAAGTTTTGGGCCCAAAAGGAACATGAGTACTGTGGGTCAATTCAAAAAATTCCAAGACATTTTTGCAATATTCTGTTTAACAAGAAAGGAAGTCAACTTCGGCTCGCCGAAGCTATGTATGTACATATGTCGAATGTCGAACAAAATACATAGAGGCTAAACGGGCGATACCGACTTGCGCAAAAAGCCGAAAAAAAAAAAATTTCGAGTTGCGCAGAAACGCAGAAATTTAAGAGTCGATGAAAATTCTATATTCCAAAAATCATGCTTGCATAATGAAAATCAAAAAAGGAAGCTAGCTTCGGCAAGCTTATATACCCTTGCAGTCGAACAACATACATACATAAAGGCTAAACAGCATCGAAGCTATAACGTTTTTTCTATTGATTTTTCATATTTTCGACTGTTGTTTATATGGCAGCTATATGATATAGTCGTCCGATTTTAATGACATTCAATTTGTTATTCAAGAGTCGTTAGAAAACTCTATATTTCAAAAATCATCTGATGAAAAACAACGATGTTATTAGTTTATTTCAGTTAATTCTATATAGATTTTTCGACCTTTCCTATGGCAGCTATATGATATTGTTGTCCGATTTTTATGAAATTTTTTTCTCGGTTCAAGGGTAGTTTAAAAAGTCGTTGTTGTAAAAATCATGCTCGTGGAATAAAAAACAACGACGTTTAATTTTTTTCCATTATTTATATACATAAATTACGATCTTTCCTATGGCAGCTATATGATAGAGTTATCCGATTTCGATCAAATTTTATCCGAAATTCAATAGTTTTTAGAAAACGCCATCTAGAGAAATCAAGTCGATCTGATCAAAAACAACTGCGTTAGTTAGTTTTATATTTCAATCTCTTGTATGGGAGCTATATAGTCGCCTGATCCGGCCCGTTCCGACTTATATACTGCGTGCAACAACTACACAGCTTTTGGGAAAGTTTCAGCAAGAGAGCTTTAAGACTGAGAGACAGACGGACAGATGGGCAGACGTACAGACGAATTTTAGATTCAGATCGTAATGCTGATCAAGAATATATATACTTTATGGGGTCTGAGGTGTCTCCTTCACTGCGATCCAAACTTCTGACTGAAATTATAATACCCTTTGCTCTGCAAGGGTATAAAAACGATGTTATTTATTTCCGTTAATTCTATATAGATCTTTCGATCTTTCCTATGACAGTTCTATGAGATAGATATACATTTTGATAGATAGATAGATAAATATTTTGATAAAATTTTATTAAAAATTCAATGGTTGTAAGAAAACACCATCTAACAAGAAAGGAAGCTAGGTTCGGCAAGCTGAAGCTTATATACCCTTGCAGTCATCAAATACATATGTCGAACAAAATGCATAAAGGCTAAACAACATCGAAGCTAAGACTATAGACGATAGATAGATAAGACGATAGGGGCGATCGCGTGAACCGAGTGAACTGGCGTGAACTTCGGAAACCTACGTGTTACAGCGTGTCGCCAGTCCTTCCTTGCCCTACTTCTTCCCTTGTCTATCTCTCCTCCTAAGACTAACTGGCCTAGCATTGCTACATACGCATTCCGAAATCAGTATTGACATCGAGAGAGTTATAGAAAAGTTTTCAAAAAGAGGGAAAAGAAAAATGGAATTCGCCATTTAGATTAAAATTAATTAATTTATAATTATGTTTTGCCACCTGCTACTTACATTATTTAAAAAAAACATTATGATAGAAATACGCATTTCAGCCATATTTTTCTCTTTTCCATACAATTTTTTCCGACATTGTCACCTTCAACTAGTTTACATAGAAACAGACAGACGGACAGACGGACAGACGGACCGAAGGACCGACGGACATACGTACATACATATTTCGATTCAGATGGTGATCCTGATCAAGAATATATGTATATACTTTATGGGGTCTAAGGTGTCTCCTTCACTGCGTGGCAAACTTCTGACTGAAATTATAATACCCTTTTGCTCTGCAAGGGTATAAAAAGACATTAAACCGATATGATCTCTCCTATGGGAGCTATCCAAAAAATATCCCAATCCGTCACGTTCTAGAAATCGGAACTGCGTGCAATAACTACACAACTTTTAATAAACCTTTTGCGAGATAGCTTCAAAACTGAGAGTATTGTTTACATTGCAGCAGACAGTCGGGGGGCTAACCGAGGTGCGCAATTGATTTCAAAAAATGGTCTGAGGTGCGCGAAAACGCTTTTTGCACATAAAAAATGTATGTCCGAGCTGCGCGAAAACGCTTTTTGCACGTTAAAAACGAATGTCAGAGCCATGGTACAATTATGTATACAAGGTAGTGGGGCTAGCCGAGTTGAGCAGAAAATTGCAAAAAATTGTCCGAGTTGAGCAGAAACAGTTTTTGGACATAAAAAATGAATGTCCGAGTTGAGCAGAAACGATTTTTGGACATAAAAAATAAATGACCGAGTTGAGCAGAAACGATTTTT